TCTTTTTCTATTGTCACACTAATCCATCCCGCTCTTTGGTTCTATCAAAAAAATAAACATTTTAAAACAAAAAACAACCCCCCACCCCCCCCCCCCCCCCCCACCCCAACCCCAAATCCAATGCACTCCAGGAAATCGACGCTGGATGTCCATGATTGAAGGTGATCAAGCAAGCAGTGGTATCTCACTGGAGAGAGACTTAAGGGGTTTGTCAAAGAAAAAGCAGAAGAGGACGTCGGTACTCAGGAAGGTGTAGGTACTCCCCTTAGTTGGTAAGGGCTGCAGTGAATGTGTTGTGAATCGCTTAGTCATTATCTTCTACTGCCTGTTGCTTGAGGTTGCAAAACAACCGGCTTACAAGAGGGAAAATAGTTGGGACGAATGTCGAAAAGTATTAGTTTCTGTGCTTGAGATTTGGCATAGAAAGATCCAGAAATTTCCCCTTAGATAACCCCTCAGTAAATGCAAGATACTGTAGATAGTCTTGCGCAGATTGCAATATCAATTCCACTCAAGATGCAAGATCCCAATTTCCCCTAGGCCTTCTTCCAAACCCCATCTTTCTTAACATAAATTCCATTGGCAATGATATTGTTGTGAACAGTACTCCGGTGTAGGAAAGGGTATAAGTGGAGCTAAAACAAGCCGAGGCAAAGCGGCGAGTCCGGAGCACCAGTTATTCCGGGGCCACTGACTAGCCCGAGTCGGGCTAGCGGGGCAATCCGGATCGGGCAGGTGCGTGTCCCCCGATCCCGTGATCGCAAGAGGCCGCGGGTGCAGTTTGCCAGCTCCAACCTGCATCCCACCCTCCGTCAATTGCCAAAGTTTCGAGGAGAAACATTGAGCGGAGTACAGTTACATCGCCGATTCTCAATTGTTTCGACAGTGACAGACGCCACCAGACTGCCATGATCCATCATCGTTCGTCTCATCTGGCCTCACTAGAGTCGCTTTGACACCGCCCGAACCCACACGGATGACACCGGCTCCTCCTTGCCTTCCAGCGTGCCCCGTCATTGGCCATCGCCATGGCTCGTCGATGGTGTAAGCGAAAGGGGGGATCTCGGACATGCTCGTCCTGATCTCGCTTGTCTCGTTCCTGCCGTACCGTTGGCCCATCCACACCAAAGCCATTCTCCCAGTCCATCCTGGATTCCTGCCATCGGACCCTCTCTCCTCCTCGCTTGTCTGTCCATGGTTCATTACGATTCGCGCGCTCAGTTCCCTGAGGAACCGGGGGAGAAAGAGTCGCCGGTCAATGTCAGTCGAGCCTCTCGTCAGACGCGGTCCTGCAAGGTCTGTCGGGCCCGCAAGGTCAAGGTGCGTTCCCGATCCGCTGTTCATCCTTCTTGCTTTAGCTTGGCGATGTCATCCCCAGCCAGGAACCACTTCACCTGATTCTCGTTTTATGTCATGCTTATTTTTAATTCTCCTTGCTTTGCGTTTCCTGTCGTTTCTTTCCACGCCGCATTAATGTAGAAGGTTAATTAAATTAATTATTTTGGATGACGCAAACTCTCATTGGTTTCATGCGCGCGAGCCCAACCAAAAAGCCTCAATTGACCACTGACCATAGTGTGACCGCGTCAAACCCTGTCATGCATGCTGCGCCCATGGGTACCCGTCGAGATGTGTCTACGAATCGATACCGGATGAGGACCTCGAGCCCATTACCCAGGCCGAGGAGATACGTCATTTGCGGACGGAGATCCGTGAGTTAACGGTGCGACTAAATAATCGCGGTGAGTGTTCCCACACCGAGTGAGCTAACCGCTTGTCATAATATTCCTTGAGCTAATTTGGCGTCATCCTTGTCTAGAGCACCGCAACCGAGCCCAACGGGGACTTGCTGAGCTCCAGGAGCTCTTCGACACCATCCGTTCCGCCCCGCTCAATGTTGTCGATCACTTTATCGCGGATATTCGTGCCTCTCGTGGGGAATTAGAGGCTGTCTCGACCAGTCCCTGGGAAGGAATACAAGGTGCGTTGCGCTTGGGCCAATGTGGAGTATACTCGGGGGCAAACAGAACCCACTGACTTGCTCCCAAGGACACGATGGGGGCCTAGTCCCACGCCTCTCATGTGAGAACTACGATGAAAATATGGATGACGAAGGCTATGTCAGCAATCGGTCTGGCCACATGGATTTCAATCGGAGTCCATCCGAGGAGTCTGACGGCTCGTCTGTCAGTTCGATGATATGTATGAGCTCGACGCGACCAATGCTCGATATCTTTATCGAGCGATTCGTCGACGCTTTCAGCCCGGAGGTAGGGGTCAAATCCGGCCAGGCAGGAGCCTTGCGACGCGCGGCCGAAATTCGCATGTTCTCACCTATTCTCACCGACGCGTTTGAAACTGTGTCAGTGGCTTTCTTCGGTCGGTCTATTCAAGACAAGGGCATCGAGGCCTCGGGTTTCCGCACTTATCCCCGCGTTCTACGAAGCCTTCAGGAAGCCTTACAAGATCCGGAGCGTAGTAAGGCTGAATCTACTTTGGTGACAGTCATTCTTTTGATGGCCTTTGAGGTATGTTGCTTAGGATCCTCACTTTGACCAACGTTCATACTGACGGTATAGTAGAGTGTTGAGCGTACTACCCAGGGATCATTGTCGGCACACGTTCAAGGTGCAGTACGTTTGATTGAACATCGAGGCCCTGAAAACCACATCTACGGTGTTGAACACTTGCTATTTACGGAGCTTCGTCCATATTGGGTATGTTTTCTCTTTGCCTTCTGGTTTATTTGACCTACCGTTAACTCAGAATTGTTTTCAGGTTGGAGCTTCACTCGTCGCTCGCCAGCCATCGTTCCTGGCTCGGGAAGATTGGAAGACAGTCCCCTGGTCGGCTGGTACGACTAAAAAGGACATTCTTCATTACCTCCTAGATCTGACGGTGGAGATACCGGCCCTATTATCACAGCATGATTCGCTCCAAGCCGACCTAGAGTCTGGGGTCATGATGAGCGCACACGAAACAGCGGTTAAGCAAACTACGCTGTGGAATAGCATTGCGGATTTGACTTCTCGATTTCTGCAGTGGAAGATCACAATGGTCGATAATTACCCTGATGGTCCGCCGAAAGAAGTTGAGACCGAACCCAATGATCAATTCCCCACTTTTTACTGTCGGGATTTGCGCACTGGTGCCACAATCAAACCCACCAAATTCGCGTATCCAAACCTACGTCTGGCCCAAACGATGTGTTTGTATTATTCTGCCCGGCTTGTCTTGTCCTCGGTGGACACCCGACCGGATCGCGTTGGCCCGGTTGAGCAATATGGCTTGGGATGTGGCATCTGCCGGAGCTTGGAATGGTATATACTCACTGCGCCGGGAAACATGATCAATCGTCTAGCTTTCCCTGTCCGGGTGGGGTGGGAAGCTTTCCCCGATGGTGGTCCTGAGCGCAAGTTCATGTACGAGGTGCTAAAGCTGGTAGAAAAACGTCATGCGCTGGGATTGTGGGGAAGTGCGATGCCCGAGCTGTCCGTTCGTTCTGGCTCACCACCTAAAGCAGCCTAGAGTTTCGCTCTATTGGTTGCATACTAATTTGTATATTTCGGGCAAACATTGGCGGAGCAGGAAATTTTTGCTGGCAATCGCAGGACGAATTCCAGCGTGCAGTGGAAATGAAGTAATGATTTATGTCAGCGTGATCTGATAATTTCACCATCCGGCATCATTTGGAGGAGGACCAATTCGGAAAATGTCTTGATTAATATTCGCCAGTTCTATGTCGTGTACAGAATGCCGAACATCGGATTTAATGTTGCCTACCTTAATTTTTGGTGGTACGACGAGGAAGAATGACATGCGTCTACAATAGTCAGACGGCTCCTTCAAATATCATGTGCGAAGGACACGCCACAGTACGCCACAGTACAGGGCTCTTCCCGCCTGTCATCAAGGCAAAGCAAACGTACGTTCTATTCTGCCTTGAAGGTAGAGGCTACCTTGCCGTCTTTAAAACCCTGTTGCATTAAATGACAGTAAACATGAGCCTAGTAACCAAGAAGACTTGGCCTTGCTTTTCTGGACTGCAGACGATAGTCCTCATCAATCGTTAGGTGGATGCTATGGCGGCGTATTAAAACTGTTGACTCTGTCTGCCATTAGGGTCGTGGGTTTGACAATACTTGGGCTCTGCAGCTCTTCTCTCGAACCTCAATGCTTTCTGGAAAGGACACAAATAAGCGGGCCTGTCTATTAAGGATTCATTCGAAGAGAAATTTGAGGATCGCATGCTGGGTATAGAAGCTTTGCATGGCTCACGGGAACATCCGTTACGTCGAACACATTCACTACTATTGCGAACAGCTCAGAAAAGGCCGACATGAATGTGATTTTTAGTATAAAGAAACCCATGCTCCTCTCGCACACCTCACATAACTATCGCTTTACACCTCCTGTCCCTACTGGCATCTCTCAGTAACCCACCTCTTCATCAGACTCCCTTGAAAAAATGCCCAGGCGCTAAATCAAATCACTTCTATCATCATGCTGTTCGACCTCGGCTGGATTTTCTGGTTCCTTCTTGCACATTTTATGTCAACAGGGATTTGGGTATCGGTGTGTTGCTTAATGATCCTCTGGGCCGCTCACATTTGGGTCGTAGAAGTCAGATATTTCCGTGATGTTGTACCTCAAGCCTTGGCTGAATCCCCGCTGATGATTTTATTGCTTGGTCTTCTCATTTTGTTAGTCAGTTTGGTCATGCCAAACGATTCTATCTTTGATGATGATCATATTCCGCAGTGGAGAGAGGTTAGGTAGAGGAAGAGTTGAAACATGACCTTCGTGAGCTTGGTGTGGCTTTTTGATTCACGATCTGGGCCTTGGACGGAATCGCTAGCTGTTATGCGCTTAGACCTGCTTTGAGCTTTAGGTGGACATTTTAGTTCAAAAGATGTCTTGTACTATTCTTTGAATTTTATTCTTGACTGTCGATGAGATATATGTGCTTGGGTAGATCATTTTCCTTTGAGAGTCCGTTGAAACCTTTTGATTTGTTCTGTAGATAATACTGTAGGCTGAGATAACTATTTGCCACTGAGCATTGATTTTCGATTTAACGATTCCGTCTTTAATGGGACATGCCGCTCTGTTTCTTGTAGTAACTTTGATATGAGACCGCAGCATGGAAGATGTCACCATCTACAATCACGCCGTAGCTCAGCTAGGAAGAAGCGTTTGCTGTAACTAAATATAGAGTAACTTGGCAGGACCCGATTGCGGAACCTGTTTTGTATTTTTCTAATGGCATAATCCGGAAATATTCACTGCCTGTACGAGCACTCACTTTCCATAAATATGCCGCTCTAGTAAACCCCAAATCTCTTACCGCCATCACCACTCTATTCCTATTCCTTCCCCGTCTCCACCAGCAGAAGCAAATCCTCCAAATCTCTACCAAATTCGCCTTGTATTCCAAGGACAAAATGCCTTACATGATGGTGCAATTCCGACGCGTGGCAATGTCCACTATCGGTGATATTTTTCTGAGCTTGATCTTGTTTCTCAGCATAGCCTACGCCCAGGAAATGGTTGATAGATACCTCGTCAGAATGGCCGGAGAACCAGTTCAAGCCTTCGAATATATGAGCGTGGAAAAAAAGCTGTTGACGGCTTTCTGGATGGGGAAAATCAGATCCATCTCATGGATCCACTTTCTTCGGGTCGTCTTGAAATGGAGCACTATTTGGGTCAGCAGCGAAATTGGGCTCCGTCTTTTTAAAAGGCTGAGCGCGGAGGAGGGTCAAGTCGAAGATCCTGGCTATCAGAACTTGATCGAAGTGGATATCTTCTATTGAGTCAACCGCAGGAGTCTGGAGACGTCTTTTCGTTGATACATGTCTCTCGACTATCAACTCGGGTTTCCCTGACTCGTTTCTCCTCTTGGTCATGGCGCGGATGGCCAAGATGCTTCAGGCAGTGGATTTTCTTCTCGATTGTATCGATCTTTTGTTCTGTGGTCCTTAATGATTTCTTGACGTTTCTGTCAGGCTTGATGAAAATGATATAATTGGATTGGAGGTACTTGCACTTCCGTCCTATCTGCTGTTTCCTATCTCATTTGTGTATGGGCTTGATACATCTTGGTTCGCTTGCAAAATGGTCTGGTGTGTCTCTGATTGAACAGTCACTTGCAAAACCAGGCTTTTACCCCAAATTTGAAATGGCTTTTCGATTTTAATTAGTTCATTATGCCTCGTTGTCGACTGTAGCCAATAATACTTAAGAAGGCATGAGCTGGAAAAGTGCATGGTCGAGAGCTTATTTCCAACCGTTTGGCTTTAAATACAATGGCTTTGAAGGATATTTCTTCTTCTTGGGGAACAATTCTTATTCCTGGAATATCCTTAAAGGCTCTAGAGACAGTTATATTTGGCTCTGAAATAAGATCGGCCAACGACATATTCCCTTTTTCGCCAACGAATAATCCACATCCGCATGGCTTAGTCTAAAATACTATTAAATCATTTCTCTACCTTCTCTAATGCACTTGCCCCTAAAAAAGGATTTCTGTACAAAGATATCCTAAGACGTAGTAGTCTAGGCAACAAATAGTACCAAGCAAGCACAGTACGATCCGATCTTTCTATCTTATTTCCCCATAATTGTAGAAGTCTAGACGCTGTCCTCCATTTGCACTTTATCAAATTCACTGAGAGCCGCACAGACCAGACCTTCAATGACCGGCACGTGTGGGTGGTTTATTCTCCCGAAATGTCTCGCACTGACGATTAGTTCTCCGAGTTGAATAGGCTGGACGGTACGTGCGTTGAGATAGCAGGGAGATATTCATAGAAGAAGCAATTCGGATATGCAATGGTAGCGTTTTTGGGGTGATCGAATGCAGATATCCAGACGATTTTCCTGATATTCGATGATATTATTAGCATAGCTTTTGGTTCTGGGTTATTGGGTGGTTATCTTCAGTTGAGTTGATGGACTGTCTTTGGGCATTAGATTATGACGGAATAAAATGTCTTCGTGGTGCATTATAATAAATTCAAATGTTCCAGCCATGAGATTCTCTTCAAATTATATCTTTTTAGAGATAGAATACTGTTGCTATTGTACGTTGGATAGAAGAAGAATATCCAGATGATGAGAAAAGGGGGGAGTGAGTTTCCTGAGACCGGTGGTTCGGCAGGTGGGAGAAATCCGACACAATATTTTAGACTCTCCAAGGGATAATGGCTCAAGTGAAACCAGAACTTCCACCAATATAAAGAATTTTCTTCAAGTTTAAATTAGTCTGAATCTTTGGTCTTCAGTCGATACTATGTTGTTAATGTACATATAAACCAGGTGCACATCGCCAACAAGTTCAGATATCGAGTTAACTGACTATGCAAAACGTTGACTCGATTTGAAAAACTATTGGCGCGCCTAGATGGAAGTTTATAACACAACTCCATGCTGGTCACAAAAGTGGGATACGTCCCAGTTTGGATAACATGCTCGAAACTAGTATCTGATATCTGGTGTCTTCGAGGCATTTGTGCCTCCCTCTCATTCAATCAAATATTATCTTCGTAAGTTTGCTTGGTCTTGGATGAACAAAATTGAGGAGTTTTGAATTGTAAATTTATTTCTAGTTTCCAAATGTAATCGCTCAGAACTTGAGTTCTTGTGATCGAAGGGAGGCGAGTGTTGCTGAGTAGCCTAGAGGTCAAAATATATATCTTGCAACAGACGCTCGTTATTCCCTACAGCTCATGCCCGAGAACTAAAATATGATTCTCTTTATGCCTCATAGTAGTGTTTTGTAGCTGTGATTATTCTATTGAACAGCTTTTACATTCAAGCTATAAACCAGATAATAGCAATATCATGAACATCGGGTGTGCTTCCGTCGTCGTGGAATGAACCAGGTTCGATTTCGCTACCAACAACGGGACCGCAGCGAAGAACAACAAGAAAGGGGGGAAAAGAATCAGCTATCTGGTAGTTTTTAAGGATCTGATACAATCGAACAATATCACCTAGAGCCCAGGAGGCTACGATTGATACGTTCACAGGTTGAATTTTGCTACACTACGAATACGATGTACTATTTGAATAACGCCTGTGTCCTACCATTGAGCCCTGTGAATAACTACTCCGTGAGGCGAGAAAGTCTAAGGTAAAAAGGGACAGCCAATGGTCGAGTTCGACTCCATTGTCGAATGAATGGCCGTCACTCCCAGGGTACTTTCCACTGGCCATCTGCTGAACCAGGTGAGAGCGGGTGCAGATGCCGTCCCAGCGGGATGAAGTTGAATAGCAAGGAATTGCAATTAGTCACTGTTGAGCCGGACATCGGTGCTGTCTGAAACCCTTAATGTGTCAAGACTGTTGCTATTTCTGGTGATCGGACAAGTTCCTATCCGTATTTGCTTGGAAGACGGTAGAAGAGAAACGACTAACATGAGTAGCTGGACTGGGGTCTAAAATGGCTTAATGGCCATGGCCGATGCGCAAAAGCGCCAGTCAGAGAAGTTATTCTCGTGGGGTAGAAATGTGACTCGTGCCCA